GCGTGGCCTGCCCAGCCGAAGGAGGATGGCCGAGGCTCAACCGCAGTGGTCACGCTTACGGGGAAACTGGAGAAGAATGACGGCAGCACTTACGGTGCTGGTGACCAGCCACTAGCTGAGCTCTGCAAAAAAAAAACCTGTCATCTCTCCCTTTCGACAAAAAACGGCAAAGCTGCCCAGCCCAAAGCGCGACGGGAACTCTGGTGAGCTTGACAGCCTCACCCAAAGCTCAAGGCAAAAGTCTCCTACAGGGCAGGACCTTCCTGTCTGAGCCGGTTTTTCATCAGAGGGTGCGTTGTGGAAGAGACAATGGGGCTCTTTCAGCCTCTGCTTTCATTCTGCGAGGAACTGGGGCGAGCCAGGGGGGGGATACGCTTGCATTTTGAGGTGCTATTAACCACCCAGAGTCCTTCAGTCAAAATAAACCCAGCCTGTCAAGCAAGAGACGGCTAGAAAAAAAAAGCTCCGGCATAGCTCGGTATAAGAAGGTCACATCAAGGGAGGGGAGGGGGGGAAATCACAGGAAATAGATGCAGAATCAAAAATAGCCGTAACATAACTCAGATGGGGTGGTGGTAAAAGGAAGAGATGTATCAGGGTCATCAGAGAGGGAGGCAGAGGAAATAAACTGGCTCCTATTAAGATCTGTGCAGCCAGTGGGGTTTTAAATGCCCAAAGCATTTCAAATAGCCCGTCACGCAGCACCATCTACAGCTCCTTTTTAGGGAGTGCAGCCCGAACAGCATTCTTCAAAATGAAAAAGGTCTTCTGCAGTCACATAAGCCTAAGACTAAAAATCAGGCTTGTCAGATGCTATATTTTTTTTCTATCCTGCTCTATGGAGTAGAGAGCTGGTCTCTTGACAGAAGGCCACCTGAAGAGACTAGAAGCATTTGAAATGTGGGTTTACAGGCGGCTGTTACGTACAAGCTGGGTTGACAAGATCAACGATCTGGACGAGGGGATAGATGGGGAACTCATCAAATTTGCAGATGACACCAAGCTGGCAGGAATAGCCAACACTCCAGAAGACAGGCTTAGGATACAGGAGGACCTGGACAGACTTGAACACTGGGTGCTATCTCACAAAATGAAATTCAAGGGTGAAAAAAGTAAGGTTCTACATTTAGGCAAGAAAAAACAAATGTACAGGTATAGTTTAGGGGGTACCTTGCTCAATAGTAGTAACTGGGAGAGGGATCTCGGAGTCCTAGTGGACAATCACTTAGATATGAGCCAGCCGTGGCTGCAGCTGCCAAAAAAGCCAACACAGTGCTGGGCTGCATTAACAGAGGGATAGAATCAAGATCACGTGAAGTATTAATACCACTTTACAATGCCTTGGTAAGGCCACACTTGGAATACGGCATCCAGTTTTGGTCACCACGATGTAAAAAAGAAGTTGAGACTCTAGAAAGAGTACAGAGAAGAGCAACAAAGATGATTAGGGGACTGGAGGCTAAGACATATAAGGAACAGCTGCTGGAATTGGGTATGTCTAGTTTAATGAAGAGAAGGACGAGGGGGGACAGGATAGCAGCATTCCAATATCTCAGGGGCTGCCCCAAAGAAGAGGGAGTCAAGCTATTCTCCAAGGCGCCTGAAGGCAGGACAAGAAGCAACGGATGGAAACTAATCAAGGAGAGAAGCAACCTGGAACTAAGGAGAAACTTCCTGACAGTTAGAACAATTAACCAGTGGAACAGCCTGCCTCCAGAAGTGGTGAATGTTCCAACACTGGAAGTTTTTAAGAAGAGACTGGACAGCCATCTGTCTGAAATGGTATATAGGGGTTCCTGCCTAAGCAGGGGGTTGGACTCGATGACCTCCAAGGTCCCTTCCAACTTTATTATTATTATTATTAGAAATGAGGAGGTGATCAGCCGCCTGGGAAAGCCAAGGGAAATCATCAAAACAATTAAAAAAACGAAAATTAGAATATTTCGGACATGTGATGCGACACCAGGAAAAATACGGCATACTCCATTTAATCCTCCAGGGAAAGATTGAAGGCAAAGGAGGTCCAGGCAGAAGAAGAACATCGTGGCTTCCAAATCTAAGGGATTGGTTTGGACAAAACGCAGCAGCACTTTTTCGTGCGGCTGCTGATAAAAACAGGATCGCCAACGTCCGATAACGGATATGGCACAAGAAGAAGAAGAAGTTTCTTGACAGAGGCACAGCCTCGGCATTCAGAAGGACACAGGCTATTATCATTCTGGGATGGCTACAGCTAGAGACAGTCTTTGACTCATGACCGTAATCGAACCCAGAATTATGGCCGTGAAGTCAAGGCAGTCATTCAGTGGGTGATGGGACTGCCCCCAGTTTTACAGCCGTTCTTGCAGTGGTCGTGAAGGGAACGCCGCAGTCGTTAAGAGAACCCATGGTGTCCAATGGGCATGTTTTGGGGTTTTTTTTGCCCCAAACTGGCTGGTTTCTGGCAAAAACCACCCAGCATAAATCATGGTCACATGGACTGGAGGGGGTGGGGTTGGGGAAAAGGGGGGACACTGCAAAAGGCCCTAAATACAGGCTGGTTGCCAAGTGCCCAAAATGGTGATTTTGTGACCAGGGAGAGTGCGGTGGCAATTGGAATCTCAAAGGAAGTTTGTAAGAAGCTTTGGGGAGCTCCGTCATAATGCCTAAGACAGTGATGGCGAACCTTTTAGAGACCGAGTGCCCAAAAACTGGCCCCGCCCCTGCTCCATCCTCTGCCCCGCCCCTGCCCTCTGCCCCCACGCCGCCTGCCTGCAGGGCCACTCACTGCCTCCAGGGCCCGCCGCACATCGCCCGGGCAGCCCAGCAGCGCTATGGCCACACCCTCTCCCCAAGCCCTACAGCATCAACTGTGCGCGATGGGGCGTGAGGGCAGAGTCTTGTCTACGCTGCCTGGCTGCCATGTCCTTGGCTGCGCTGCTCCGCGTGGGCCATGCTTGCGGGCGACTCTCCTCCAGGGGGGCTGCTGGAGAGGAGGGGGCCATGGGGGGAGGCAAGGCTGGAGCAACGGCACATGTGCCCATAGAGAGGGCTCCGAGTGCCGCCTCTGGCACCCGTGCCATAGGTTCGCCACCACTGGCCTAAGAGGTGCTAATCGTAAGTCGAGGACTACCTGTACGTATGTTTGCTTCCTATGAATCTCCGCAAATCCTTTTTTTTTCAATCCGACAAACATGCCCGTATTCCAATGAGAAGTAAATGCTGGCTTCTGGCAAAAATGTCACGAATTGCGGCCACGTGACCGCGGGAGCTGCAAACGGTCATAAATGTGGGTGGCTGCAGAGGCCTCGATCGCATGACTGCCGGGGGGGGGACTACTAAAACTTTGGAACCGAGTGGTAAGTAGCTTTGGGAGGTCGTTGTAACTTCAAATGGTCATTAAGCATCCGGCTGTAAGTCAAGGACTACCTTATCTGTCCCTGACAGAGGGAAACCTTTGGCCTCAGTTCTTGAAGAGAAGCACAGACTGCCCGGCTAGCCGAAAACCTAAAGGACTGCCTGCATGTGTGACTGTGATGCTAAGATTTCTACGTTGTTATCTGTTCTTCCTAAGCCTCGCAAATTGGTTGGAGAAGCAAGCACTGGCATAAATCTAACAGAGTAACAACGACTTGTGATCAAGCAGAAGGCTGTAAGAGAGACAGTAGCAATTAAAGACAGGTCATTTTTGCCCCCGCTGCCCTGCCCCCAAATTATTTTTCCATGGCCTCATAATATGTTTATTATGAGACTCTTTTGCTGCAACATTAAAAGTCTCCGGACATCTTAAAAATATTTAAAAGGATTAAACACCGAAAAATAAAACAAAGATGTAAAATACATTAATAAAGTTTGTTAACAGCCTAAAATTTCAGGGGTAGGCAACTTTGGCTCTTTTATGACTCGTGGACTTCAACTCCCAGAATTCCTGAGCCAGCCATGCTGAGGGGAAAGGGAGAGGTTTCCATGCTGAGCCATGCTGGCTCAGGAATTCTGGGAGTTGAAGTCCACCAGTCATAAAAGAGCCAAGGTTGCCTGTCCCTGCCTTAGACATATGAACTTCAACTCCCAGAATTCCTGAGCCAGCCATGCTGAGGGGACAGGGAGAGGTTTCCAAGCTGAGCCATGCTGGCTCAGGAATTCTGGGAGTTGAAGTCCACGAGTCATAAAAGAGCCAAGGTTGCCTACCCCTGGCCTAAATGCATTAATAAATAGTAATAGCAGTAGCCCTTAGACTTGTATAGGCTTCATTGTGTTTTACAAACCTCTCTAAGCAGTTTATAGAGTCAGCATATTGCCCCCCCCAACTATCTGGGGTCCTCATTTTACCGACCTCAGGAGGATGGAAGGCTGAGTCAGCCTTGAGCAGACAGCAGAATTAGCCTACAATACTGCATTCTAACCACTGCGTTACCACGGCTATTAAACATTAATAAAGTTTATTAACAGCCTATTGTGACATTTGGTTTTTTTTCTCTCCCGAATTTAATTATTTTCAATGTTCTTTTAACTAGTAAGAGGCAAGAGAAGAGAATTGCTGAAGTAATAGGAAGGCAACAGCTATCCCTGACGCTGCTGGCATCCTGGTCTGGCCTCAACATAGATCTCCCAAGGTATTTTAAAATACCACAGGCTTTACTCACTGAGGCTGATGGAAGGAGTAGCTGAAACACACTGTGACTGAATTGGGAATGATCTGATGAACTGGCCTTTTTATACACAGAAAAGTCCTTTGGACACAGAAAGTGAGAACATGGACTTATCGGTTATTGAGGGCAGAGGGCATTTCTCCATAAAATGTATATTTTATGAAGCACTTACCTCTAAGCAAATCCGAAAGCGGAGGGCCACAATCCTCAGGGATTACATAATCTCCTTTTCCAATGTTTTCAAATAATTTATAAATATTATCCCCTTCAAAGGGATAAAGGCCTGTTGTAATATTGTACCTGGAGAGGGGGATAGGGAGAGCAGAGAGAGAGAGGGAAGAAGAAATGATTAGAAGCA